ACTGGACCCTAGGGCCGGGAGCAGTGGCTCACACCTATAATCCTAGTACTGTGGATTCCATTATACCACATACAACATGGACACACAGCCAACTGGACCCTAGGGCCGGGAGCAGTGGCTCATGCCTATAATCCTAGTGCTGTGGATTTCATTATACCACATACAACATGGACATACAGCCAACTGGACCTTAGGGCTAGGAGCAGTGGCTGACACCTATATCCCTAGTGCTGTGGATTCCATTATACCACATACAACATGGACACACAGCCAACTGGACCCTAGGGCCAAGAGCAGTGGCTCATACCTACAATCCTAGTACTGTGGAAGGTTGAGGCAGGAGGGTCACTTGAAGCCACAAAAGTGAGACCAACCTGAGCAACAGAAGACCTTGTCTCTACAGAAAAATAGAAAAATTCACCAGGTGTGGTGATGCACCCCTGTAGTCCCAGCTGCTCAAAAGGCTGCGGCTCACTTGAGCCTAGGAGTTTGAAGTTGCAGTGAGCTATGATGATGCCACTATACTCTGGCCTGGGCAAGAGAGCAAACCCCACTTCAGGAAAAAAAAAAAAGTGCCGTATAAGTATGTACAATTAAAACATGTCAATTAGACAGATAAATAAAGCGCTTGACCAAATTACTGATTATTTCTCTGTGTTTCACATAGTTTCAACAACAAATGTAGCCTGCTGCTCTGTGCTGAGCAGAGGTTGCTCTGGGCTTCATTCGGAAGGTCTGGGCTTGCCGTGTGGCACTGCTGTTTACTCCTCAGGTTGTGTAACTTCTGCCAGGCTGAGTTTCCTTCACTCTAATGTAGAAATGATAAATTCTACCTCACAGAGTAATCTCCAAGAAATACAGCTGGAAATGTGTTATAAAGGGTTCCAGTCGAGTGCCACCTGTTATCCTTCCCCTCCTGTTAGAGTGAAGATAATGGAACTGTCAGAACACACTCATGATTACAGCTGGGCGTGCTGGCTCAGCGGAGACGGCCTCACATCAGAGCTGCAGGCGAGTGCTTAGATAAGGCTGGCCAAACCACACATTCCTTTTGAGCTAGGAGTTTTCAAAATCATTTCAGCCAAGCCTCTCATTTTATAGGTGAAAAATGGGACTGCAGACCCTCCTGGTTTCCGACATCTCACTCATAGTGGCAAACAGAACCCAGGCTGTGAAGAATTAGGCAAGGGAGCCCTCTCTGAGCAGGCACAACGTGCAGGTGCCCTGGGATTGCCTGCGATCATACCAGCGAATTTCACAGTCAGGCTGCACGTTAGCCCTGATGGACCACGTGTCATTGTTTCAGAAACTGGAAAGCTGTGTATGTGCCCACTGTGGGACACAGCCCTTGCCACACCACAGGCACCTGATAAATATGTATGATAGATGCCTAGATGGGCAGCACCCTCCCTACCTAATCATGTTTTCAATAAAGTCTCTCTTGTGATTCTAAACGTATCCCCACTGTGTATTTCATTTGGTGATGGCAGAAACAGAACTTAGCATAAAGCTTACTCACACTTTTTCCTAGTGGTCACCTCCCTTGCTCTGTACTTCCATAAGCAGCACCCAAATCAGCTGATGGCAGTTCTTGGAGTCACCGGCCCAAGTCCTGTGGGCAGCGTGTACAGGTGCTGTCAATTCTGCCTTAACTCAGGGACAGCAAACGTCTCTGCCGTTTGCCTGTTAAATAAGGTGCAGCTACAGCCATGTCATCTGAACTGGTCCTAACCAATATATGGAGTGGGGAGGTGTCCTTAGCACCCCAGGCTCCTGCCTCTGTGCCCCTTTCTGTCCTGAGGGACCCTCCATATCATTTCGTGCTCTTTGCAGCCTCTCCTCCTGCTTTTAGGGCCTATAACTTTTCACAAAGTGCTTAGAACACAAGCAGAGCAGATGCATTGAAGAGAGTTCTACAGC